AAGAGAGTAGTAATTTTATCTTATCGTCCACAGAGTGAAGCCTAGTTAAGTAATAATCTGGGAATGGATCGACTATCGTTCATAGGCGAGGTGATGTCACACGGAGTAATTGATTACCGTAACCACAATCAGGATTGTGATATTCCTGACTAAGGATAAGATACATTCGACATGACTGTACATTTATTAACGTTATTACATGTTTACACGCGAGGAAGGTACATTGTCATGAAAAAAATTATGTGTTCTTATAGACTTCACTATATCTGAAAGAGACAAACGCAAACGTTTTCTTAAGCAGATTTAAAAAAGATGAAACGACATGCAGATAAAATCAGAAGTGTGTCTTGCGTGTCTTTTTTTTAAAGATATTATTTATGATAGAGTGTAAGATAATAATAAAAGAAGTTTCTTTGTATTACCTACATATTAAATTGTTCTCTATCTTTATTTTTCGCATATTTAAGTGATTTCGGAGATCGCTCGATTGTGGCACAATCATAATCAAGCATAATCATCGTCTTCTTCTTCTTTATTCTCCTCCTTCTCATTTTCTATTTCAATATAATTCGGCAATTCATCCCCTTGAATAAAATCGTCGCTATTCGCAAAACAGTTCTGAGCCGTCTTATCATGACCTTTAGTTCGTTCGATAGCAAAATCATCCTTATAATTTGGATTCGCGGTAGAAAACGATCGATCAAACATCAGATTGAACAATTCGACATTCCTGTAATTACATCGTATGAAATAATTCTTTGCTGCAAGCAAATAACAAATGATCTCAAGTATAGCTATGATAAAATATGACGGATTATTGCGTCGAATCCCAATGATATAAATTATAGAAAGAGAATTACTATAATCGGAATAAAAGTTATTAGACACGTTAAATTCGTAAAAAAGATTACACAGAAAAAAGAATGACGTATAATAACAGTGTCACTCTAACCGGAAATAATCTTGTTAATTCAATAATCAACTATTAATAGATATAGTATAGTAATAATATTTATAAATAAATTTTTATAATATTTGTTTTATTAATAATTATTATACTTTTAATTAGATTGATAGAACATCAATCTTATTTAATTAATAATATTGTACATTTAATTAGATTGAACATCATTTTTTCCCATCGTGTATTCTCCCTGAATTAATTAATCTTAAAGTTTCGAAAACGTTGTTAAGGACGGAAGCAAAATTAAAAGGCTACTAACTTGGCAATAAATGGAATCTGACTATTGATAATGTTAGATTTGATATTGAGCGATTTGAATAAGGCAGAAATGATCGAGTCATTTAGCGTATTTGTAAACTTCTTTTTTTGTTCTTCACACGAACTGATCGTCGGATCTAAGCCGGTCGGCTGATATTCTATGGAAACCATCTTGGTTTTAGCATTTTTTTTCTGTTTTTCTTTTTTAAGGATTTTTTTGCATTCTTCTATCTCTTTAAACTCGCGATCTGTCTGTTCTTTTATTTGTGCCTTTTTATCTTTTGGCTTTTTATCTGCAAGAAGATATTAAATAATCATAATTAATTAAAAATATGGTATAATGATGCTTCTCTCTTCTTATAAAATATAATATAAAAATAGAAAAAAAAAGAACTTCAGAACTCAATCATTATAGAATTTACCTTTTGTAGTACATGATTTTATTGATGGTTTCGTTGGTTTCTCTATCATCAGTTTCTCGTCTGCAATGAAAATATAAAATTTATTTAAAAATATAATAAAAACGCTAATGAACTAACTGCTGTACACTTTTTCATAAATTACAAAAGGGTTTGAAAATATATTACGTAATCTTTTTATATTTATACATATAAAAAAATATAATACAATAATATAACATATAATAAACCTATTTTAAATGCTTTCTTTCTGTTGGCACAGTATTTCTCGTGATTGGTGGGTTCACGTAATTTCTTATCTTTCTCTTTTTGCAGAGACTGACTGCAGGTTTTCTTAATAGGTTTCTTTCTCGATATACACTTAGCTGGACCTTTCACGCATTTTTTTTCTTTTTTCTTAGTTTTACACTTTTGCTTTCGTTTCTCGCAAATCTGTTTTAGTTCCTCTTCGCTTTTGTTACAACTAGCATAAAATCTCTGTGTTGTTTTGCTTATGTTCGTATCAAGAATATCAGGAATCGAAGTGAAGAAAGAGTTAAGATTCCACGGGATGGGAAATATCGATTGCTGCGAGTAATACCGTTTTTCCTTTCCTTTGCGGCAGCTTTCATTACTGGCTCGGGAAGAATTTTTTCTCCGACTGTCGAATCGCTTTCGATCGCTTTCGGTGCACTTTCGCCTCTCTTTTTCGATGGTGTCACGCTTTTCGCACTGTTTCTCATATTTTGATTCACAATTCTTTTCCTTCTTTTTATTCTTTTCCTTCATCGAATCGCACCGTTTGTGTGACCGCCGTGCTAATAGTCAATGTATCGAAATGTTAAGTATAAAAGTATAAGTATAGAAATAAAAAAGTATACAGAGAGGACGATTTCTTTGGATTGGAATCAATTTTATTAGATTCCAAGAAATTAATTTTTTTAAAGTTTAGTCCAAACAAATCAATTGTTGATTCAACAAATTTGATTGTTTGGTCTCTCAAATAATAAATAACTTTATTTTAAATAAAATACTTATTTAATAAATTGTTTGAAGAAATAATGTTATTTTTGTTATATATTATATTGTTTCAACAATATTAAAGAATCTTTTTCCTTCATTGTAACAATATTTAATTTAGCCAAACAAAATATTATTTAATTTAAAGATGAATTTTATTTCTTTTAAATAATGTTGTGTGTTCTTTCTATCAAACAATATAGCATACTCTACAAAACAACAAAACTCTTAATTCAACAAAGTGATGTTTAATATAAAATTATGTTGTTTAAGTTAAATAAATTCAAGTCAAACAAATAGAATTGCTAAATCTAAATTAGTCTTTTTTCTCAGTGTACGATGAAAGAAAATT